GGGTTTAGGGCTTTAGGGCTTTGGGTTTAGGGCTTTAGGGCTTTCGGGCTTTAGGGCTTTGGGGTTTAGGGCTTGAGGGTTTTAGGGCTTGAGGGTTTAGGGTTTAGGGTTTAGGGTTTTAGGGTTTTTAAGGTTTTAGGGTTTTTAAGGTTTGGGACTCATGGAGCCTTTGGCCATCCGCAATCGACGGCAGATACTTCGAAGTCAGACGAATGCGAAGATTCAAGAGTGGCCCGCTCACGCTCTCTCAAAATCAAAGGAACCCGAACCCCTACTTCCTAAACCCTAAACCCTCAACCCTAAACCCGGAACTCTAAACCTCTAGACGGGTAAACTTCGGTAATCACGAGGACTTCGACTGCTGCTGCTGCTTGTGTTGATGCCAATCCGCATCCTGCTGTTGCCGATCATACGGTTGATGATATAAATCCTGCACTACCCACCATAAGGAAGTTAGGAATATACCATAATTCAATTTCCCCTAGTTTAGGGTCCTTAAGGTAATGCAGGGATTATATCATCAACAATAGTTCCTGCTCCCTGCTGCCAACGGCACGTCCACTACCACTACGATCGCCACTTCTGCTGGTGCCAAAATCTAGTGTAGCATGCAAGGGTAGGGTCACTCCTGTTTCGACGCTTGCTACTTTTGCTGGCACCAGTACTACCCAAACCCTAAACCCTCTTTAAGCCCTAAACGACGCTCAACGCCCAAAGGCTGCGGTCTGGGGCCTGCAACGCAGTCTCTTGGTCCATGGTTTGCGGATACCTAGGGGCCGGCAGGCACTGCTGAAGAGATCATGGGACGTAGTAATCTTGCTGTATGTAGAATCAAAACCACTACGACAGGCATCATGTCTTCTATCATGCATATGAAACTACATACACCCATATACGAACCTGAGACTCCGAGTAGGGTTTGGGTTCTAGGGCAACCCTCCCATGGACAGAGTTGAAGGTGGGCAATTTGGAGTTCTCAGCTCCTCCAAAATCCCGCCTGTAAGGAATATGATGACGTTAACATAGGGTCCCATCACAGCAGCTTGACTATCACTTGAGGAAGGTGTGTGTGTGAGGTTACCTCGGTAGCCCTGGGTCCAGGGCTCACGATGTAAGCTTTATACTATAATATTTGATGTTCTATGACATAATGTGATATGATATGATATGATATGATATGATATTAACCATATCTTATTATTGCTATTATTACTACTATTATTAATACTATTATTAATACTATAATTATTACTATTATTATTACAATTATTATTACTACTATTATTACTATTATTGTTACTATTATTATTACTATTATTAATACTATTACTGTTATTAGTTGAGGGGTCTAGGCTGGATCGGACTTGAGCCGGGCACGTCCAGTGCGCAGCATCCGGATCGCTCTGAATGGTAACACCTCCCAGGCATAGGGTTTAGGGTTTAGGGTTTAGGGTGTAGGGTTTAGGGTTTAAGGTTTAGGGTTTAGGGTACTCGCAGAAGCAGGAGGAGCAGGTTTAGGGTTTAGAGTTCAGCGTGAGGGTGGAGAGAGTTTCAGAAGTCACAGAAACAGAATATCAGAAGCAACATAACTCAGAGATGCTGAACCAGAGCTGGTTCAAAAGCATCTCAGGACGCCGAGTCACACAAAGTCTCTTTTCCTCCCTGTGTAGCTTCAGATCGCTCTCCGAGGGTTCGACGCTGGCAGCCCTTTGAGCTATGTTTAAGCTCAACGGGCTGCCATGGACAGGAGCTCCATGCTAAAGGTCACCCCGAAAGGTATATACGGTTTAGGATTTATGCAGGAGTATACAGTAAGCGACGAGTCGCGCGAGTCGCACAGAGCTATGTCCAGAGTTCCGGATCCACGGCAGGCTCGCTAACTTGCCTTCTTGCAGTTGACGTATTTTCGCTACCGCAAGACAAAAGGAGTGGAGGCTTCAACGCCACCAGCACACGCTGCAGTGCCACACTCGCACTAGGCAATGCTGCTCCTCTAGCAACGCGAAGAACTTCGCAAGTGCACCTGATAAATCTAAACGCGCAGCGAGTGCGTCATGAGTATTAGCAGCATCGACACAACGACACTCTGGCCTTGCAGAGAGAGGTAGATGCAAAAAGAGCCTACGATTGATGTCTGTACAACCTTGCGATTAAACGTCCACGAACCACATACCTCCAAACTAAACTCCCGGCCCACAAAACCCAAAAGCCAACTTGAATGCCGAACCTCCTCGCCTTCCCTATGCATATCGCAAAGCTATCCGTCCGGATGGGGGCCATTGAGCAGAGAAAGCTCGGAGAGGTGCGAGGCCAGGGAGGCCCTGATCCTGTCTTGAGCGCTTTTCCGGAGATGCTCCTCAGCGAAGTCATGCTCCTACTAACGGTTTAGGGTTTAGGGTTTAGGGTTTACGGTTTAGGGTTTAGGATTTACTCCCGCTACTCCTACTACTCTTACTACTCCTCCTACTGCCACTCCCACTGCCACTGCCACTGCCACTCCTACTCCTACTCCTACTCCTCCTACTCCTACTCCTCCCACTACCACTGCCACTGCCACTACCACAACGACGACGACGACTGCGACTCTAAGTTTCCCCCAGTCCTGCGACCGTGCTCGGCCCTGCAAGGCCACACAGAGGGAGGCCCACTGCTCCAGCACGCACCTCAGCTGTACTCTGTGGGGAACCATCGAGTGAGTTCTGCACTGTACGGCTGGCCAGCAAATCCATGATTAAATCTCAAAGGATACTTGCAGAGTACCACAAGAGTGAGTGGCACTAATTATCTGTCTCTGGTTGCCATCATTACGACTCTGATACTCTGCTCTTGGGTTTCCTTGATTTGCAACTCCCATGTTACCCGTAACCCTAAAGGCCTGAACTCTTTCTCTTATAATTCTTTGCATCGTCGTTGACATGTCTGAGCCAAGAAACTCCCTCCTCGCCAGCCTGGCGCGCTCTTCCAGGGGACCGCGCGAACGGCGCAGAAGGCCCTGGCGCTTTCCCTCTCTTAAAGGCGCGGGTCTTTGGGTTTGGGGTGTACCTTAAGAACCCAAAAC